CACTCTTGGCGAATTTCATATAATTTTCCTGTGGCACAAATTATGGTTCTTCTCTTGTTTTGTTTTGTTTTAACCATTTAAAAATGTAAAAACCATTCTTTGCTCTTGGGCTGTACAAAAACCAGCAGTGGACTGGATTTAGCCTGCTTGCCTTAGTTTCCCCATCCCTGCTCTATATTGACAATGATTTAATTAGCAATGGACAAACTGAGAATTCCATTTGTAAAGTTAAGTTACTGGATCACCTTTTTACTATGCCAAAAGAGAATGTACTTCCAGCTTTCTTCTCCTTATTCCCATCTTTTAAGGGAAACGAACTCTAAGAGTTGGAGGATATTATTTATTAAAAGTATACCTGTGTATGGGAAGCACATTCTAAATTGGGAGTATATTTAGTGTAGTTAGAAAAGAATAGAGAGAACAATGGAAACACTTCTTCCTCTGAAGGGAAGCAATGTAATGTCAAGATTCTCACTTGGCACTGTATTTAAACCCTGGCTTTGGCACTTCGGCAAGCTCTCTAACCTCTTGGATCTTCATTGTCCTCATCTATAAAAAGAGAACACAGTACCTACTTGATAGATTTTGAATATTGAATGTAATCATGCACATTCTCAGTATAGTAAGAGCTCAGTGTGTGCCCTTATAAATTAATAACTAATAATAGTGAATAAGAACACATGTTTAATAGCATAGTGCACTCCAATTTTGTACCTAGAAAGATGAAATGCACTGCAATTCTGTTTTGTCAAGTGCATTAGGATGGAAATTCAACTCAGAATACTTCTTTCACCAGTTACCAATTTAATGCCAGTTGAATGAGTTGAATGCTGCAGGCTACATTTCAGTAGTGTGGTTTTTAATCTTACCACTGAATGCTATGGTTTCCCTGGAAAGATTTTAATTATGACCTTTAAACTTATCCCCACTTCCTTTTTTTTTAAGATTTTATTTATTTATGAGAGACACAGACAGAGAGAGGCAGAGACACAGGCAGAGGGAGAAGCAGGCTCCATGCAGGGAGCCTGACGTGGGACGATCCTGGGTCTCCAGGATCAGGCCCTGGGCTGAAGGCAGCACCAAACCGCTGAGCCACCAGGCTGCCCTCCCTACTTCCTTTCTAAGAACTGATATGTACCTCTTTGAAATCCTCTACGCAAACTTTCTTTCTTATGTTATTATATCGTGTCTAGACCTCTATTATACTGATTAACTCAAGCAAAAAACAAATAGTAATATGGCCATATGAAACCTACTCTAAAATATTTCTAGCCACCTGAAATATAATCAGATCTGTTTTGAAAATGTGGGAAACTTCAGTCATGGGTAATAATGACTCAAGCCTTCTAGGAAAAGAATGCCACCACAGAAATAGTTTCTTTCTTTTTTTTTTTTTTTAGATTTATTTATTTATTCATGATAGACCTAGAGAGAGAGAGAGAGAGAGAGAGAGAGAGACAGGCAGAGGGAGAAGCAGGCTCCACGCCCGGAGCCTGACACGGGACTCGATCCCGGGACCCCAGGATCGCGCGCTGGGCCAAAGGCAGGCGCCAAACCGCCAAGCCACCCAGGGATCCCAGAAATAGTTTCTTTACTCTAATTACACAAGTCTCTGTTTTAAGAAAAGGAAAGTGGAGTTTGCGTTTTGTAGTTCTTAAAATCTTTTTTTTTTTTTCCACATCAATCTCTGGCAGTGGCAGGAACTGGAGGACATTCTCTTAATATTTCAGAAGCCTAATTTACATGAAAAATTCTGTTACTGGGTGTTCAAAAATTGTTCACCAAGTTCAAAGAGTGAGATAAGTAAGGGAAAAAGCTCTATTTTCAAATAGGTCTAAACTCAGGACTATTTCCAGAAAGTTAGGATCATAAGGAATCCTATGTTCTAATGCCCTTGGAACGTTTTTGTTTCATTTTTATTGAGATATAATTGACATACAGCTCTGTATGAGTTTAAGATACACAACACAATGACTTGATTTACCTAACTGGTATAATTACCACAATAGGTTTAGTTAACATCCATCTCCTCATACAGGTATATAAAAAAAAATTCTCCCCATGAGATCTTTTAAGATCTACTTTCTTACTTAGCAAATTTCAAATATATCAAACAGCAATGTTAAGTACACTCATCTCATTGTACACTACATCCCCAGGACTTACTTATCTTATAACTGAAACTGTGTACCTTTTGACCACCTTTATCAGATCCTACATCCCTCCTCCATGACACACACACACACACACACACACACACACACACATCTGGGACATATCAAATAAAATTACTAAAGTTATCAGAAGCAGAACTTCACCTCCCCATTAGGTAAACCTGAGTCAAAGGAGACTTTTTAAGTACTAGATTCTGCTTTCCTATTCCTATTTCTCTTTACAGCTTGGGGGATCACAGAAAAAAATAAATAAAACCTTTTAACATGATAACATTAGAAGGAGCAAAGGCAGATTTTCAAGATCCTGAAAACAGCCAAAGTTAAACACCGTAAAATCAAACAAAACCCTAAGTTTGGAAAAGGAACCTCAACACTTCCTGTTAAGTCCCAGACATATGATGTGTCATAAAGTGGATACTATCCTCTCCTGGCTCAGCCTCTAAATGCTAGTGACTAAAGACAGACCCAGGTGGAAGCATATGTGAGTTCTTCTCTCTCGAGGACTCTAAGAGCTCAGGCTGGATTTGAATCACCTTTTTCAGCATTACCTAGGTTGGTGACCTTGAGAAGCACACATTTTTCTTTCTATGCCCTTTTGATCCCATCCATAATTTGGAGGCAATAGTACCAATATATTCTATGGCTTGGGGGGGATTAATTCAGATACTGGTTGAGAGGCATTTCATACCTAGTAAGCATCTAACATCAGCTATTACTTTTATTAGTATTGGAACATAGCAGGGAAGTCCCATAAGTATTCATAAAGTGAAGACATTCCCGGGGACCCAATGCCGCACCTTCCAGTGTCCTGTAATGTAGCTAACCCAGGGGTGCCCAGTGCAGGACTGGGAATCCCGATCTGAGGTCCTCTTTACCCGTCTCCGGCCAAATCAGAACAATAAGAACAATTCAGTGAGGGTTTTTTCCCCCTTTTTACGCTAAAGGGATTCGCTTTAACGACCTATTCTTTAAGTCATAGACCTTGTGCCTTTCTTGATGTTAAAATCTTTGATGAAACTTTGATGAGGTTAAGTCGTCGGATTTTTTTCTTTTAGAAGGGTTAGGCAAACCCGGAATCCCTGAAAAACCCCCAAATCCAGAATTGACCTCAAACCCCTTCTCCCTTCCAATGCCTCGCAGACCGGACAGACCCCCCAGCCCCGGGGGAGGAGGTGGAGAGAGACGGCCCGAGGGACCTCCGCGCGCCGGGCCGGGGGACCGGACACCGGACCGGACACCGGACCCGGAGCGGCTGCGGCAGCGCAGGGCGGGGGCGGGGGCGGGGGCGGGGGCGGAGGGGGCGGGGGCAGAGGGAGGCGGGGCCCCAGGCGAACCCGCCCCTCAGACCGCGATCCTACCCGCCAACTGGCCGCGGCGCCCGGAGCTCCAGCCAATCCTTAAGGCCTTTGGAAGCTCCGCGGCCGAGCAGTACGCAGCCGAGCCAATGGGCGGCCGCGTTACAGGCTGCTGGACACCGAAGTCGCGAGTCCTCGCCGTGTCTGTGTCTGGCCGCCGTGGAAGCCCGCTAGTGGCTGGCGGTGGCGCCTCGGCGCGGGGCTCTGCATCCGACCCGGGCCTGGAGGGCGGGGCAGGCGGCCGGCGGCAGAGATGGGTCCGCCCGGGGCCTGGGCGCCGGTGGCGGCCGAGGGTGGGCTGCGGGAAGCCTTTTGTGAAGTCAACCGGTTCTCACTGCCTCTCAGGGCGCGGTCCCCGGGTCGCCTGCATCACCGGGGGGCGGGGGGCTCATCTCAAATGTGGACTTGGCGGCGCACCCTGGACCCACCGAGTGGGACGCCCGGCGGCGAGCCTCGGCTGATTGTTATGCGCTCTTACGTTTCAGAATAAGTAGGGGCGGGCAGCCGGGCCCAGCGGCTTAGCGCCGCCTTCAGCCCGGGGCGTGATCCTGGGACCCGGGATCGAGTCCCGCGTCGGGCTCCCTGCATGGAGCCTGCTTCTCCCTCTGCCTGTGTCCCTGCTTCTCTTTCTGTCTGTGTCTCTCATGAATAAATAAATCTTTAAAAAACAAAAATAAGTAGGGGCAACTGATGGGGCGGGTGGACAGCTCCCTGATTTTGATGGTAAGAGTCGTGTGCTGGCTGTGCTCTCCGGATCTCTCTGCCAGCCTCTTGCGGACTCAACCTCGGGATCTGGGTGAAATCATCCGTACAATGAAATGATGCTCTCCGACCTGCCTTCTCATGCAGGTGATGGGATGTTAGAAATTAAATAGAAGCCTAGTGGGCTGTGGAAGTATATGCAAGATGGCATGAATGTTTTTGAATTACTCATGTAGATTTATACCGAATTGATGGAGGCTGTCTTCACAGTATATAATTACATTTATGGGACCCCTGCTGGGGTACCATACCCAACACGGGAGTTGGCAGGAAAAATCTGAAGAGGATTGAGATTGGGGACTGGGAGACCAAATAGGACTCCTAGTTACCCGACTTTGAGATGCTATGAGTCTAGTCTTCAGTGGTGACAATGGGAATAAGAAAGGTAGTGGAGTTGATGGAAAGGAAAGAATGAGGATTGAAGACTTGAGAGGGCAGCTCTTGAGACGACAGGGTATCCAAGTGGAAATGTCCTATGGGCAGTAAGAAATCTAGATTGAAGTCCAGCTCTTACCAGAGACGATGACTTAGAGGTTTGCAGCACACACTGATAAAACCCTTAGAATCATGTGAGCATCGTGAGACAGGAAATGTGCTTACTTTTCTACAGGAGAGCCTCAAGGAAACCCCACAGTTAAGCCATGACGTCAAATCAGAGACGGTAATCCAATGAGATGTGAGAGTGTAAAAATGTGAGATGAGAGAGAGGTAAAATGAAAGCTCATTTTTACTCATATTAGTGAAAGAAAATATCAGACATTTCATTGCTGACTCTTGCCCCCATCAGAGCCCATAGTCACAGGCCTCGGGGCTGTTCTGCAAGTAGAGATTGAGGAATCCTCGAAGGGTGTTGGCCTCATTGAGGAGGGCTGATACGGCAGGATCCTCCCTCATGGCTGCCATCCAGAGCTTAAGTTTTGGAGTGTGGTCTACACAACTGTGGGGAGGGAAAAGGATGAAGATGTGAGCTAGATTAATTAGGAAGGCCTTGCAAAGCCTCCTGTATCAGTATCACTCTGCAGTTTCCTTTTGTTTTCCTCTAATCTTTTAAAATATTTCTTTAAAATGCACATAATCAGGGGATGTCTGGGTGGCTCAGGTAGTGATCCCAGAGTCCTGGGATGGAGTCCCACATTGGGCTCCGGAAGGGAAGCCTGCACCCTCTCTACCTATGTCTCTGCCTCTCTCTGTGCCTCTCGTGAATAAAGAAAATCTTTGAAAGAAAAATAAATAAAATCTTTTTTAAAAATGCATATAATCAGAATAGATTTGATAGATATTGTAGAGGTCCTTGTTTCATGGAAAAGGAATCTTAGAGTGAAGTGACCTGCTCAGTTAGCATGAGAATTTGTCCAGGCAGACTAATAACTTTTTTTTTTTTAAGATTTTATTTATTTATTCATGAGAGACACGGAGAAAGAGAGGCAGAGACACAGGCAGAGGGAGAAGCAGGCTCCATGCTGGGAGCCTGATGTGGGACTCGATCCCAGGACCCCAGGATCATGCCCTGGGCCAAAGGCAGGCACTAAACCACCCAGGGATTCCCTAGACTAATAACTTTTTAGAAGGAGAACATGAAAGACACAATGAATGTTATATATTTATTATTCTACAGCCAGACTGTGACTAAAAGTAACCCTGAATACCTCTAAGCTCTAAGAATTGGGAGTAAGCAAAGGTAGCTGCCAAACTTCAAAACATGGAATTTGGAAAATAGTGTGGGAATCCTTCTGGCAAATGGGAGGTAGTATTGGTCATATAATCCTGCATCACATGCTTATAAAAATGTCCATCCTTACGGATTTTTAATTGGAGAGAAGGGAGTAAGTTACTTTTAAAACATTTTACTACATGTCATAGAACTCTCTGCCCACCCCTCCCCTACACACTCCAGGAATGGAGAAGGATGGTGAGTATATGCCCTGGATGGTCCGAGACTCTCCTCCTGTTGCTTGTTCCCATTCATACCAATTATATAAAATATTTTAATTTTTGTTCAGAAAAAAAGGTCAATATATACTGTACCAGTTATCATTATCTTAAATTATGCACAAAATATTCAAATGTCTTACTCATTTAACTCCAGAGCTTCCAGCCGTTCAAACCAGGGCCAGATGAGGTAATCAATCATAGAAAGAGAATTACCACCAAAGAAAGTTGTCTTCTTATTGGTCAGAACCTGGACATAAACAGCATAAGAGTACTTGTTATTTGTGCATTTAGTAAGATTCATCATTAGAAATGAGTAAGGCAAGTTAAGTACAGCAAGTGAGAGCAGCAGCTTTTACTGATGTATTCAAGCTGGCTTTTTGTTTGAACTTTAGAATCTCCTGGTTTGGGATGAAGCCAGCAACTGATAAAATGAACTGGAAAATAGAAAAAAAAAAAAAAAAGCAACAGAGTACAGGATCTTTGTAATACATATACCCAACAAAGGACTGGTATTCAGAAAATAGAGAGAACTACTGGCAATAATAAAAAAGACAACTCATTAGAAAATTGGGCCAGACTTGAACTTCACAAAAGAGGATATTCAAATGGCCAAAAACCATTTGAAAAGGTATTAAATTACATTAGACATCAGGGTAATGCAAATTAGAGCCAAAATGTAATACCACTACATATCCGTCATAATGGCTAAAATTAACAAGGCAAAGTCAACAAGGATGTGGAACCACTGCTGGTAGGAGTATAAACTGGTGCAACTGTGTTTTAACAGTATGAACTAAAGCTGAGTGTGTGCATACTCTAACCCAGTAATTCTACTCTTTGGAAATATGAACATATGTTCACCAAAAGAAAGGTCGAAAAATGTTATTGCAGCACAATTTGTAATAGCCCCAAAGTGGAAATGTTACTGTCCATCAGGAGTAAAATGGAGAAACAAACTGCTATCATATGTTGAAACAGTACACAAAAGATAGGAATGAACTACATACAACATAGATGAATCTCACAAATCTAATACTGTATGAAAGAAGCCAGACCCAAAAGAGTGCATATTATATGATTCCATATGTAGAAAGTATTAAAACAGCCAAAACTAATGTTTCTTGATATGGGTGCTGGTTCCATGACTGTTCATTTTGATAAACTTTACCTAAAAGCTTATTAAGGTGTTAAGCTTTATTTTATAATTGTGTTTTGGCTTGTATGTTTAACACAACAGCTCACAGCAATCTGTCATAACCTCAAATTCCTTTTTTGATGTTATTACTAATTGCCACAAAGTAATCTGGAGAAAGGGAGTATAAAGGAAAGTATAGAAGGAAGAAGACAGGGCAGCTAGGGTGGCTCAGTGGTTTAGCACTCCCTTTAGCCCAGGGCATGATCCTGGAGACCCGGGATCGAGTCCCACGTCAGGTTCCCTGCATGGAGCCTGCTTCTCCCTCTGCCTGTGTCTCTACCACTCTCTCTGTGTCTCTCATGAATAAATAAATAAAATCTTTGAAAAAAAAAAAAAGGAAGGAAGAAAGAAGACAGAGGATACAATGTTTCATTTACTCTGACAAAACCCAGGAGAAGAGATTACCTCCTCCAGCTTGCTGAATTCCTTCCGTAATTCTTCTTTTAGGTCAGAGCCATCTTCCTTATTTTGTCTTCTCAGAAAGCCTGTTACCAAAGATGGAACCTAGACAGAGAATAATTTTGTAGTTATCAGTGTGATGTAAACTATACCAATTTCCTCACAGAAAAGCATGATGGAACCCTCGAGTCCCATGTCAGGGTGTTGGAGACACCTTAAAGCTGCACTAACTTCTGTGTTCCCAGAGGTTGGATACTGATCTTAGAAACAGTTTTGGGGAGTGAGGTGCTGTTTGGTCAGGATTTTACTTTAAGATTTTATTTATTTATTTACGTGAGAGAGAGAGACAGAGATAGTGACCAATAGCACAAGTGTGGAGGGAAGGGAAAAGCAAGTTCTCTGCTGAGCAAAAAGCCCGATGCAGGGCTAGATCCCAGGACCTCAGGATCATGACTTGAGCTGAAGTCAGATGCCCAACTACTGAGCTACCCAGTCAGAAATTCCCCAGTCAGGATTTTATATGTTGCAAATAATAGAACCCACTTTGGTGAGTTTGAGCCAAAAAAATGTCTTAATTAGACACTGAGGAACTCATAGAATTATTGAGAGTCTGAAAAGATAGGCTGGGAACTAAGCTGGAACATTCTGGAAGTCATGCTCAGAACTGACCTGATGGGAAGCGCCCCCTGCTGCCAGGGAGTTGAGCAGTAGGTGCACTAGGTCGTGCCCTGCCAGAGGATGGGCTCTGGGGTAACTTATGTCTTAGCCCTGCTGCTGTTTCTGCTCTGGAATTTCATCTTGCAGCCACGACTACGGCTCCCCAAAACCTGGAGCTCTGCCCCACAGCACTCTCGCCAGCAGAACCAGTGCCCCACACCAAGCCTGTCTCCTCACATTGCTCATTTCTGAATCCAGCTCTACCTCGTCCGTTTCTGACAGAAGAGCCTCGGTCCCAGGCCTTCACCCCAGCTGCAAAGGGCACTGGGGAAGAGAATATTTCTGCTTTCTACCTCGGGGAGGATGCGAGAAGGCTGTTCACCAGGTGTAGCGTCAGACGCGTGGTGGTCGTGCTGGAGGTGTTTATATATTTTAATACTTCAGTCTTTGATATCATTTCTCAGTTTAAGTCAACGGGTGCTTGTAAAAATATAGGAGAATGTCTGAAATCCCATCCAGGTCAGTACAGCTTGCCCTCATTGAACTGAAGGTTTGTAGGCAGCACTTCTGCCCACAGTTCCATCTGGGCCTACCTGGTTTTTTAGCCCTGCTTTTCCTTAAATGTCTGCTTCATATATTATCAAGTCCCTCAACAATGCTCTTAATTTCTGCTTCCTTAAAAATTTTATTTGGGGGGGGGTGCCAATGTAGCTCAGTTGGTTAAGCATCTGCCTTTAGCTCAGGTCATGGTCTCAGGGTCCTGGGATCAAGCCCCGAGTCAGAGCTGAGAAGCAGGCTCCCTGTTTTATAGAAACTGATTTTTATCCAGAAGAACGGAGCAATTACTATACTCCTTTTACAACTGAGAAGCCGAGGCACAGAAGTAAATAAGTAACTTGCTCAGAGTCACACAGCTAGGGAGTGGCAGAGCTGGTCGGAGACTGAGGCAGGGAGTCAACCACTGTTGGGAACGTGGCCTCCGCCGAAAGGAGCTCACAGCCCCGGTGCAACACACAGGCAAGAAGGCAGTCAGTGACAGAGAGGAGTTAGCACATGTCAGACCCTAGGGCTGGGCACCAACCCAGCCTGGACACGCTTCTGGAAGGCAGCAGAACCTGAGCAGATACATGAGAGAGAACTTGGAGATAATCAGGCAAAGTGAGAAGGGGGAAGAACCTCCCAGCAAAAGTTTAGGAGGAGGTAGGGAGTCTGGGAAAACAAAACCTTTGGTGTGGCTAGAACACAGGGTCTGAAGAGTGAAGAGGGCTAACTCTGGAGAGGCAAGCAGGTTTGCAGGACATGTCAGAGCAGACAGGAGCACTGCTTTGTTTTCCTTTCCTACATCACTGAATCACAAATGACAACACTGACTTAGCTTGAAAAGCAAAGTTTCTTCAGAGAGGAGCTGAAGTTTCTTATATACACACCTTGGAAAATAACTCAAACACCATTTTTTGGCAAGCTTTCTCATAGGGATCATCCGGCAACAGCTTCTTCCCTGGATATGCTTCATCCAGATACTCACAAGTGATAGGAGATTCATAGATCAATTGACCCTGACTGTTTTCCAGAACTGGCACTAGGCCAAAGGGATTCTTCTTAAAGAACCACTCAGGCTTATTTTTCAGGTTGATGTTGATGATTTCATGCCTGAAAGAGACATGGAAAACAATGAAGAGAGTGGCACTTTTTTTTTTTCTTTTTCACTTCTGAGTAAATCCTCACTGGTCCTACCATCCACTCAGCTCATCAGACTCCAAATTTAGGATTCAACTCAGTCTGGATCCCTTTTCCCTTGCTCCCTCTTCCTCAAGTCAAATGGATCATCAAGACTTGTCAGCCAGACCTCCAAATCATATCAACCTCTCAGTTTGACCACTGCCTGCCTCCTTGTCCAACACATTATTTGCCAGCTAGACCTCTACTGTATTCTCCTCCCAGCCTCTCTGCTTCCACTGTGCCCTCCCCACAGTCCATTTTCCACACACAAAAGTAAATTGGATCAGGCCACCATCCTGTTTGCAACCCATTGATTGATTCTCATTGCAATGAGGATAAAAAAGCTAAACCCCTCTGTGGCATGTGCTCTGGCCCCTTCTTTCCTGTCATCCCTGTTTCCTAGGAATTGGCCGCTGGTCATTACAATCTGGCCACACTGGCCTTTTTTATGTCCCTTGAATTTGCCAAACATGTTCTCACCTTCGAGCATTTACATTAAGTGTTCCTCTGCTATCTCTGCCTGTCTTCAGGCCCTCCCTGACTACTGTCTCTGAAGCTGCTGGCTGAGAACCTCTACTGCATGATCATTTTGTTTCACTTTCTTCGTTGAACCGATGACATATACCCGAAATTACTTTGCCCATTTATTTACATGCTTATTATGTCACCTCTCGAGAATATAAGCTCCATGAAACCAGGAATTTTATGTACCTTGTGTGGGACCCAGGAAATTTAACAAAAATCCCCTGCCCCTGGACAAGCAGAGCAGGACTAACTCCATTTTGTGCTGCACCTGCCACCTCCTGTATCACCCCCACATGACCTGCTTATTGCTTAAGGCGCTGCCCCACCCTAGTCCAGCCGCTGAGCACACCCTAATCGGAAATCGGCTCATAACAATGTAACTCTGCCTTGTGCCCACCAAAACTGGCGCCGATTCTGACCAAAGTAATAGGCCAGCTCAAATGGATACTATAGGGTAAGATGTAATTCAACTGGCCACCTGCGTGTGGACCGACATGACTGCAACTTTCTGCGTATGTTACAATCCCATTGGCCACTGGCCCCTATAAAGCTGCTACACCTCTTAGCCTCGGGGTCCAAGTCCCTGCTCCACTGTGTCGGGTACACTTGGACCCAAGCTTGAGCTTGTAAATAAGCCCTCGTGTGTTTGCATCGGTGTCGGCTCCTTGGTGGTTTCTCGTATTCGCAATCTTGGGCACAACATTTGGGGGCTCCTCTGGGATCCAAGAAATCCCCAGGACCCATCTGGAGGGTTTCACGCATGGTGAGTGCACTCAACTTTTTCCACCTTTTGTGCGTATATTTTCTGAGAGCTCTAAACTGTACTTTTACCTGTAGGAATTCCAATCCGTATTGGGTCAACATTGGCTTAGGCGGATGCGCTGGCGGGCCGTTGACCAGGGGTCTTGAGGAGACGTCCCTTGCCCCCCCCGGAGGACAAGGTCCTCATCTGTAAGGAGGACAGAGTCCTCGTCTGTAAGGATGGGGTCCTTATCTGTAAGGAGGGCCGGCTGCCAGCCCTCCAGGTAGCTTTCTGTTTTGTCTCTGCGGCCGCACTGGAATGTTTGTCTATTTCTGTGTTCTTGTTACCTGTTTTGCATGCTGGTCTGTGTTACTGTGCTCTTTTTTTTTTAATTTTTTTATTATTATTTATTTATGATAGAGAGAGAGAGAGAGAGAGAGGCAGAGACACAGGCAGAGGGAGAAGCAGGCTCCATGCACCGGGAGCCTGATGTGGGATTCGATCCCGGGTCTCCAGGATCGTGCCCTGGGCCAAAGGCAGGCGCTAAACCGCTGCGCCACCCAGGGATCCCCTTACTGTGCTCTTGTTACCTGTTTGCGCGCTGGTCTCTGTTATGGTGTTCTTGTTAACTGCGCGTTTGTCTATGTTGTTGGGTCCTTGTTAATCGTCTTTACTGTCTGTGTCTTGGTGTGGATTGGGGACATAATGGGGGGGGGGCAGAAACCACTCCCCTGTCTCTTATGTTCTCCCACTTCTCGGATGTTAGGGAAAGAGCTCGTATTCTGAGCATAGACATACAGAGAGAGAGATTCCAAATTTATTACATATCAGAACAGCCAACCTTTGACGTGGGATGGCCCCAAGAAGGAACTTTTCACCTACCTATTATCTTACAGGTTAAGGCCGTGATCTTCAGGGACAAACCAGACGGCCACTATGACCAGGTTCCCTACATCCTGCCTGATCTGGCAGGACATGATCGAGAATTCCCCTCCTTGGCTAAAACCATTTTTACCCCCCCAAAGCAGGACCCACCGAGATTCTAGCCCTGTGGAAAGCCGAGAAGGAGACCAACTCTATGCCCCAAGCGCATAGCCCTTTATCTGGTCTTCCAGGATTCCTCCCCAGAGGACCTGATTCTCCCACCACCCTACTGGGCATACCCTCCCCCTTCCTCCCCTCCATTGGAGGCGCTGGGGGCTGAAGGGGCGCCCCCCTCCCTGACGAGGGAGTCCCTGTGCGCAGGCCAGCAGCAGGGACAAGCGGTCAGACCCACCTGACGGCCCCACCTCCAAATGCGGGGCCAGCCAACTCCACCGCCCTTCCTCTCTGCGCCATGGGGCCCCCTGACGAGACTGGTGGACAGCTAATGTTATATTGGCCATTCTCCACCAGTGATTTATATAATTGGAAAACCCAAAATGCAAAGTTATCTGATAATCCAAGAGATCTAATCGGGCTTTTAGATACTGTTCTCTTTACCCACCAGCCTACTTGGGATGACTGCCAACAACTCTTGCAGGTTCTCTTCACCACCGAGGAGAGAGAACGAATTCAGGTGGAAGCCCAGAAACCTGTCCTGGGAGAGGACAGACAGCTGACTCAAAACCCAGACCTCATAAATGCTGCCTTCCCTTTATCCTGCCCCACCTGGGACTACAACTCGGCTAAAGGTAAGGAGAGACTCCGGGTCTACCGCCAGACTCTAGGGGCAGGTCTCCAGGCTGCTGCGCAAGCCTACCAATCTGGCCAAGGTCTAGATGTGAGGCAGGGTAAGGACGAGAGTCCAGCAGCCTTCTTAGAGAGAGTCATAGAGGCTTTTAGGCAGTACACCCCTATGAACCCAGAAGCCCCGGAAACACAGGCCGCAATTATCATGGCTTTTGTTAACCAGGCCGCTCCGGACATTAAAAAGAAATTGCAAAGAGTAGAGAGACTGGAAGAGAAGAGCTTGCAGGACTTAGTGATAGTAGCAGAACGAGTCTATAATAATAGAAAAAGTCCGGAAAAACAACAAACCAAACTAAGTGACTGGCAGACCTGGCCAAGATCCTGCTGACCACAACCATGGATGACCCACAGGAAAGATGGAGGCACCTCAAGAAGCTGGCTTCAGGGACAGGTAAGGAGGATGGCCCTGGTCTCCCTCGGGAGTGCCCTAAGCTGAACAAATACCAATGTGCTTATTGCAAAGAAGAGGGCCACTGGGTGAAAGAGTGCCCTAACAAAAGATCTAAGGCCCCTGCCAAGATCTTGGAGATGGAGGACCTGGATGACTAGGGGAGTCAGGGTTCGATACCCCTCCCTGAGCCCAGGGTAACTCTTAAAGTGAAGGGGCAACCTGTTGAATTCCTAGTGGACACTGGGGCACAACATTCAGTTTTATTACAACTCCAAGGGAAATTGGCAAACAAGACTTCATGGGTGAAAGGGGCCATGGGCACCAAACAGTACTCATGGACTACCCGAAGAACTGTGAATCTTGGCACGGGCTGGGTATCCCACTCCTTCATGGTCATCCCTGAGTGTCCCTACCCGTTGTTAGGTTGGGATTTGCTCACCAAGATGGGGGCACAAATTTGCTTCCACCCCGAAGGGGCAAAAGTCCTAAACAAGGAGGGACACCCAATTCAAGTGCTTGTCCTGAGTTTAAAAGACGAATATCATCTCCACCAAATGCCCTCAGCCCCGATGACTGGCATTGACTGTTGGCTGCGGGAATTTCCCCAAGCGTGGGCAGAAACTGGGGGAATCGGGCTGGCCCGGCACCGACTGGCCATATACATAGAACTAAAGCCAGGGGCAGACCCTGTCAGGGTCCGCCAATACCCCATGCCTCTTGTAGCACGAAAGGAAATCACACCCCACATACGGTGACTACTGGACTTGGGCATATTAAGGCCCTGCCAATGGAATACTCCCTCGCTGCAGGTTCGGAAACCGCACTCTGACGATTACAGGCTAGTCCAGGACTTAAGGGAAGTCAACCGGCGAGTAGAGGATATGCACCCTACGGTCCCAAACCCATACAACCTCCTCTCCACCCTGCCTCCAGACGAAACTTGGTATATGGTATTAGATTTAAAAGATGCCTTTTTCAGCCTGCCTTTAGCACCCAAGAGCCAAGACCTCTTCGCCTTTGAATGGACGGACCCTGAGAAAGGCATCAATGGCCAGCTCACCTGGACTCAACTACCACAAGGATCAAAAATTCACCAACCATCTTCGATGAGGCCTTACACGAAGACTTGGGTGAGTTCCGTTCCGAGCACCCTCATTTGACTTTATTACAATATGTAGATGATATCCTGTTGGCTGCGGAGGACCAGGACACATGCCTGCGAGGCACCAGGGACTTGCTCCAGACCATAGCGGCCCTAGGATACCGGGCCTCAGCTAAAAAAGCCCAGATCTGCAGAGCAGAGGTGAGCTACCTTGGATACAAATTAAAGGATGGACAAAGATGGATGATGGATGCACGGAAGGAGCTGCAAACCGTCTGCCAGGTACATGAATTCCTGGGGTCAGCAGGGTTCTGTCGCTTGTGGATTCTGGGTTTTGCCGAGATGGCCAGACCCCTCTATGAGGCCACCAGGCACCAGCAAAATTTTAAATGGACAGAGGCCATGAACAGAGCCTTTAATGACCTTAAACAGGCCTTGCT